AATTGAACAAGATACACACATGACTTAATCTCGTGCCGCCACAACGCACGCTTTCGTGCGTATAATATTGCAAGCTGAAAAATGTGATTTCTGGAAATTGGGCTTTGACCTGACACCATGTAGTCCATTATTGAGCTTAAAATATGACAACTAAGACCGATCGCGAACCCTATTAGGACCAATTAAACTGGTGTTGTTTTTCGCTAACATTTATCTTCAGTAGTTTGGAAATATCAGGGAATCGCATGGACAATCCACGTTAATGAATAACGGGGATAGGGGCGAGGGTTTACCAAACCTAACATAACCTAGCAATTTTTCTTAGCAACGCAACGGGGAGGGGGGCCCTCACCCCCATACCAGGGCGACTCGTGAGCCGTTCAGCTGACTCGTCTACCAATGATCAATCGGGTTGGGGAGAGGTTAAATCGTCTCCAACTTAATGCTTATTGACCCCTCCCATGGTTTGCAGTTGGCATCTCACCCGCAGTTGATTTTCCCAACATAACGTAAGGATGCTTCGTTTCAGGTCTGGACCAGGGTAAACCCACCCCAATGTGTTGTCATGGAGGCTGGACTAGAAGCTGATGAATGTGATGTAGACGCTGATGCTCGGCCATCCTGCTTGGGAAGCGGGCGCGGGATCATCAGGATCATCAGCTGGCGATGAGCCACCCGCTCTAGAAGCTGGTACTTGGCCGTCCTTTTTTGAAACTGGTACTGATCGTCTTCTAAACTTTGTGCTGGACCATCTTCGGCAGCAACTGCACAACCCTGTTAATCTGTCGTGGAAACACGCATCATGACGCGGATGCTCGAAGTCGCACGCAAGGTGGAAGATGTTCGGCAGGTTGCGGGCCGTACTCTGCAAGTGGTGGAGAAGCCGAATAAACATCTGCATGGGAAGAACAGAGAGCCGATATCGCTCTGCTCTTCCCTTCAGAAAGGACCACTGCATCTTTGCAAAATGCTGATGACGAACACCTGGTTGCGTGTGCAACGAAGAACGTCCCCTTCTATAAGGCTCGTGTCACAGATACCGACTGCAGCATGCCCCCCAAATCTGTGCCTGTTGTATTCCGGTATGATTTCAGCATGGGATCAGATTTCTCTCCAAGGGAAAATCTGCCTGCCCAGTTCCGATGGGTCAAGGCGGCGGTGAGAACACATTGTCAGTCGACACACCGTCAGGACATGTTGAGAGAAATCCAGGAAAAAGCCACGGGTCAAACCACTCGTGGGGTCGAAGGGACCGTTGCGGTTCTTGTGCTGAGGCTTGGCTATCATGTCCCACGGTGCGTTTAAAGGGCTTGTGGTACTCCTTCACAGCAATGATGTGAACGTAGGCGGCCTGAGCCACTCGGCGAGGGTGATGAAGGGAACGCGGGATGCCTTTAGTGAGGTCGTCCTCCTGAAGGTGATGGCTCATGTCCTAAACTAGCCATGCGCCGCTGTTTTAGCCGACAAGATAACGATACGTCGGCGAACAATGAACATCATAGCCATCAACGCAGTCGTGCCTGATGCCCAGCTGAACATCTCATTCAAAGCCTGATTGCGGGAGCCCCAGCTGTGACGGACTACGACGGCGCGAACCAAGGCCGTGAGACGCTGCAAGTGGTTGGCGGGTTGGGGGGGGGGGGGGGGGCGGGGGGGGGGGGCTGCAGTCCGGAAGCCCAGAAGCTCATTACAAGTTTGAGAGCCAACCAGGACGTTGGAAAGAGAGGGGATGGGCGCATCCTGGCAGCGTGGGAGGGCGCTCGTTTGATGAGCTTGGCAGAAGAAGATGCTCGAAAAGAACCGGCTTGTTCATGGGCTGGTAAAACAGTCAAGCTGGGGTAGCAGTCACCCAACGTTTCACACACGGAAAGGGCCTGGAAGACCTCTTGAATGCTGACACCAAAGATGGTGGTCCGATCCGAAACATCCGTGAGAGATCCGATCCGAAACATCCGTGAGAGATCCGATCCGAAGATCCGAAAGAAATGTGGTCCGAAAGATCTGGTCAAAACCCTGGTCCTAGACACGCTTCGCAGCCCATGATCCTAAGGTCATGAACGTGTTCCGGAATATCATCAGACCAATAACGGACGTGCTGCGCAAGCCGGTTCAAACAGAGACCAGTTCTTTGACCGCCAGCAAGTTACGCCAAGACCTGGGTCATCTGAAAGGTGTGCAATGCTTGACTTATCCATATATGTTTTGGGGGTCTTTTTGTCCTGTGTGTATCGCACGGGACATACAGAGCTTGTTCAAGACAGCGATGTTTAGATATGCATGCCGTCAACGATATTGCGTTGTGTTGCCCTCATAGGGATGTGAACTGTTATTATATATTCCAGATTGTT